AGCCCCAGCCAGGGGTAAGACCAGCCCCAACAACACTTCCTGCAATCATTCTGCATTTTTTTCCAGGAAAAGTATTGCAATTTTCTCAAAAAAGAGCTTGATTTGAAATTAGTAAAAGTTCCTGTTCTTCTGTTTCCTAGATGGGGGTGGGTAAGAATTTCACTGATATCGAACAAAAAGACAAAAACAAGAGTGAGTGAGAACTGAAATGGGCTGCTCAGAGAGGTGGTGGAGTCTCCATCCTTGGAGGCATCCAAAAGTCATCTGCAAAGAGTCCTGGGCACTCAGGTCACAGGGAGGTGGGACTGGATCGCCCCCAGCGTCCCTCCCAACCTCAACCACTCCAGGATTCTGTGAAGAAATGGGTTTGAGCCTCCATGTTTTTGTACATTTGAAAGGAAGAAAGTTGGTTTTTTTTTTTTTGCTGTTAAAACAACTTCTTTTCCTGCTTGCCTCAAATGCTGTCTGGATTTATCCCTTTATGGAAAATTAAAATAAATAAATAAATAAATAAATAAATAAAAGGGGGGGAAGGAAAGAAGCGAGGGTTAACAAACATTCTGACAAACAGGAAGAGTATGGGCACACTAGGACATGATAATTGCCAGATGGTTGGGAAGCCAGTGGTGAATGGGAATAGAATCAGATAAACACAATATTTCTGGAGAGAAGGGATACAGGGTAGCAGTTTGAAAGATGTGATGGGATCCTATTTTGTTAGGATCTAAAGCTGATTGTCTGAGAACACGGGTGGCTAGAACCAGAGAAGAGAGTAAAACTGTGAGAAATACATAGAAATTATATATTTTAAAGTAAGCAAAATATTATCAGTCCAGGGAATTTTGAGCTCCAGCAGAATAGAGGGAGAAATGGGCAAGGAAATCCCATAAAGACCAAGAGAGTCATGGGGGAGGAATGGAAGGGGAGGGATAATGAAAGCTGGATAGGGAGCCACATTGTAGAATCAAGCATTAAAAAAACCAACCCATACTACAAAAATTAGGGATAAGAGACTAGGGATGGTGACAGTAGGAAGGACCAGAACTGGCAGCCAATAAATAAAATAAATGGATGTATCAGCCAAGACCTGGATAATGTGGAAATGTGGAAGAGCCAAGCAAAATGAGGAGAAAGGTAAGAGAAATTTGGGGGGAAATGTGAGGCAAATTTAAGGGAGAACAGGCACAAAAGTCTGTGCATCCAATAATGGTGAGAAAGGGGAAAATCCCACCTTGCTGATGACTGTGGACATCATAACACAGAATTACACAGTGAGGGGAATCAGGGGCTGGCAGTGGCAGGTGCTGGGCACAGGGCAGAGCTGCCAGTCTCTGGATTAACCACTGCTTCAGGGAGCTCTTGGAATTACAGAACTGATGGAATTTGTCATCTCAGTGCTCAACAGCTGTAAAACAGCTCCACTGTTGGGAGGTGGCAATAAAGGAGTGTTAAGGTGAGTGAAATCTCATATGAGGAGAGGAGAAAGATATCAGCACCAGGCTGACGTCTGTCCTGTCATTAGTGATTAAACATTAATGGCCAATCAGAGAATTTATCATATCAGAGGATCCCAGACTGGTCTGGGTTGGCAGGGATCTTGAAGCCCATCCCTGCCATGGGCAGGGACACTTTCCACTCCAACAGGTTGCTCCAAGCCCTGTCCAACCTGATCTTTGCTCCCCACCCCCACAAAGCACTGGGATTCAGATGTCACTTAGGGAACACAAGTGGAGAAAAGGAAAGAACTTTTTAATAAGTGAAATGGGGAAAATAATGGATTTAGAAAGAAGAAGGGGGTGTGAGGTAACACAAGCCTGATGGTTTGGTGAAAAATAAGGGAATCAACATGAACTTTTCTCATAATGCAAATTACCCAACTGAATCTCCAGTGAGACAACTCATTGTAGCTCATTTTTCAGGAGCTGAGGTGCTGAAGAATCACAGACCCACAGCATGGTTTGGGTTGTCAGGGACCCCAAAGATCATTCAGTTCCAGCCCCTGGCAGGGCCAGGCAGTTCTGTGTCCCATGATCCACACTAGCAGCTTGTCACATCAGCCTGCTGCTCCTGCACAGGACGGAACCTGCAGGGGTGGATGGTGGTGGCCCTGGCAGTGCTGGGTTAATGGCTGCACTCCATGATCCCAGAGGGCTTTTCCAGCCTTAACAATTCCCTGATTGTGTGATTCCCACAGGCTGTGCAGGTGGCTGAGCTGGTGACCAGCCTGATGAAATCCCTGCTGTGCTCTGAGCCACAGCTCCAGCTCCCCGAGAGGGCTGGCAAACACAGCCCTCAATGTTTGGGGTCTGGAGAGGCTTTCCAAGGCTGCTGTGAAATTAGATCTCCACTCCTGGCTCGTGTCTTCCTTTATTTGCCATCCTTTCCACATTATCTTTATCCAACCCAGGCCATTCTGTTTGTTTATTTTCATGTGTGCCCCCCACCTCTTCTTCCCCAGGGACACAACCTCTTACTGCCAAACCAACCCCGGGAAACCACAAATCTCAGCCAGCAGTGACAAAATTAAGATTTTGTGCCCTCATTTATTCCCATTTTTCCCTCTGCAGAGCCCTACACACCAGGTTAAACAAGTCTGGGGCGTCCCTGGGGATGGCCCTGGATCCCAAGGGGCAGAAGATCTGTGGGAAGGTCTCCAGTCCTGCCCCCTGCCCCACCTCAGCCCTGGCAGTGTTTCAGCAGGATCTTGGCTCTAATCCTGTTTCCAACAAGTCTCCTTTGCAAAATCTATAACCTCCTTCTCTACAGGAGCTTGTCCAAGCTGCTGTGCTGGGACCTGAGGATTTGTCACATCAGTTTTAGAGGAAAATAGGAAGTCCCTTCTCCATTTGGAGAAATAACTTCAGGTTTAAAAAGAAGCCCCTGCAGTGTGTGAGTCAGGAAATCCCATTTCCTGACTTCAAGGCAGCAGGAAGAGCCTTAGTGAGGGACTCTCTCCTTGGGATTTGTTCTGGATGCACTTTGTCCTGAGGTAGTCAAAACAGTGGATGTGAGGACGCTACACCCTCACAGTTTTCCTGTCAAATGAAGTAAGAATTTATGCACCTCATCATAATTTTCTAACATCAATTCTGGATTTAGCCTCCAACGTCCAGGGCTGAGGATACAGATTTTGTGCACTGAGAGTCTTGGTGGAACTTGCTGAGTTGAGGGCTCCATATATAAAAATGGAGAAAATAGTTACAAATAGGAGGGGAAAATGTAAAATCTCTGACAAGGGCTTGCATGACCATGACGGACAGCCCCTGCAGTGTGTGAGTCAGGAAATCCCATTTCCTGACTTCAAGGCAGCAGGAAGAGCCTTAGTGAGGGACTGTCTCCTTGGGATTTGTTCTGGATGCATTTTGCCCTGTGGTAGTCAAAACAGTGAGGAACCCTCTGCTACACCCTCACAGTTTTCCTGTCAAATGAAGTAAGAATTTATGCACCTCATCATAATTTTCTAACATCAATTCTGGATTTAGCCTCCAACGTCCAGGGCTGAGGATACAGATTTTGTGCACTGAGAGTCTTGGTGGAACTTGCTGAGTTGAGGGCTCCATATATAAAAATGGAGAAAATAGTTACAAATAGGAGGGGAAAATGTAAAATCTCTGACAAGGGCTTGCATGACCATGACAGACCTGGGGGCTCAGCCTGCAGAAAAGGAGGCTCAGGGGACCCTTGTGGCTCTGCACAACTCCTGACAGGAGGGGACAGCCGGGGGGCTCCGGCTGTGCCCCCAGGGAACAGGGACAGGAGCAGAGGGAACGGCCTCAGGCTGGGCCAGGGCAGGCTCAGGTTGGACATCCAGATAAATTTCTTCATGGAAAGCATGGTCAGGAATAGGAAGGGGCTGCCCAGGGCAGAGGTGGGGTCCCCATCCCTGGAGGTGTCCAAGGAAGGGCTGGGCATGGCTCTGGGCTGGGTGACAAGACAGGGCTCAGGCACAGGGTGCACTCAGTGATCCTGGAGGGCTTTTCCAACCCAAATAGTTCTGTGATTCTGTGACTACAAATTTGTTTTAAGTTCAGGACATTGTTAAAAGATATCTTTTATTCAGGGAAGCTGCAGACATGAAATGCTTTATATGGGGAAAAAGCAAGGAGGCAAGAAGAGTATCCTAAAAAAATCCACCCCAAAACCCAGCAATAACAAACAAAACAAACAAATAAAAAAAATCCAAATTATTACTAGTTTTTTATTGCCTGTACAGCATATAAACATGGACAGATAATTTCTTCACAATCTTGCCACCAATAAATAAAACAACAGACAATGCTTTCATTTCAGTGTGATTCTAGCACTGCACTTTAGAATTCCTTTCTCTCAAAGAGAGTTTAAAGAACCTTGATACCCAGCCAGTGAAGAAGTGTTCCTGTGCTCCTCTACACCCATTCCCCAAATCAACAACAATCAGTACAAGGAACAGGCTGATTTCTGGCTGTCAGAGTGTTCCTAAACACCAGGAATTCAGCTCGAGTTACTTGTTGCAGTTCTGCTACAAACTCAGAAGTGTCACCTGCAGACAGGTGGAAGGAAAAGGGATCCAACACACTGGGAAGGAGGGACTGGGAAAGGGAATAACCCAGTGATGTTGTGGGTAGGGGAGGTCAAATCACAGGCAGATAAAAATCATTATATACTACTTATTGGACATTAAATATTAGATACTAAATATTAGCAATCAAAAGGCTGCAGGGGATGCTGAGTTTCACAGAGCTTGTTCAAATCCAGGCAAAACAGTAGGAAATGAAACCCAGGGCATTTCCATTCCAGTGCCACCCAACTCTTGCAGCACTGGAACCTCCCAGAGAAGTCCCAGCCTCCTTGCTGGCAGATCTGCTCTGCTGGTGGCACCTGATCCAGGTGCTGCAGGACTGCAGGGATGGGCCCATGAGCTGGCAGCTGCAGGTTGTCTGCAGTGGGAAATGAAGCCCAGGAATATTGATTGGTGAAAGTACATGATCTTGCCACAGGAATGCACAAACTTCAGCTGGACCTGCCTTTTGTGGGTTTCTCCAGCCCCTCAGAAGCAGCCAGCACAGGCAGCATTGGCACAGATCTCACAGAGGTCGTCCTCAGCAGCCAGGCCTGTCCGGGAGAAAGGAGGGATTCAGTCAGGTGCCAGGAGGGCAGAGCTACCTGCCAAAGCATTTGGAGACTCCTTTGCATTCCTGCTTTATCATTTGAAAGATCCTTGTAGGTAGAACTGCTCTAAGTAAAATTAGCTGATGCTAAAATCTGGCTGAAGGAATGAAATCAAAGCTGGATTCCTTGGGAAGCCATAGAAACATGTGAAAGCAACAGGACAACAGGATATGGCAGCATTTTATCCTAAAGTGTCCCTTGTACTGGACAGTAGACAACTGCAATAGCATAACTTAAAAAAGCAAACACTGCAGCAGCAGCTCATGGCAGAGGGACTTTGGACAAGGAGGAATGGCTTAGGCTAGAGAAGGGTAGATTTAGGTGAGATATTGGGAGGAAAATCCTCTCTGTGAGGGTGAGGAGGCCCTGGCACAGGGTGCCCAGAGCTGCTGTGGCTGCCCCTGCATCCCTGGCAGTGCCCCAGGCCAGGCTGGACAGGGCTGGGAGCAGCCTGGGACAGTGGAAGGTGTTCCTGCCTGGCAGGGGTGGGATGAGATGGGATTTAAGGTCCCCCCAACCAAACTATTCAGTGATTCCATTATTCTGCTTTGGTTGAACTTTCCCCTGGTCACAGCAGTGGAACAGCTCAGCTCAGCACTGCAGGAATTTTCCTTAGGTGGTTCCTGGAGCCCAACCTTTGCAGGAGAAAGGGCAGCACAAAGGCAGCACAAACCCTCCCAGCTGCCCTAGAAGGGACACAGAAGTCATCCCGTGGCTTTGCCTCCTGTTATTTGAATGTTTAAGGTTGAAAACTGTGGTAAAAATGAACACTACGAAATATGAACGACATACTCAGCCTCCTAAAAATCATGGGTGCATCTTCCCTCTTGCACACAGGCCGGAATTCCTCAGGGAGGTGTTTTTCTTGGCATGGGGAATAGCTGGCCATGGGAACCACCATGCGAGGGTTGGTGCGTCTGTTGCCATCCATGAGCTCCTTCAGCTTCTTCACAGACTCCAGGGGGAATTTCAAGTCTCCATCCTGTGAAGAACCAGAAAAAAGAAGTGTCAGGAAGCCAGGCCTTTTGCAAATCCATTCCATTTCAACCAAGAGCTCTCCCAAAAAATATAGCAGAGGGAAAAGATGGTGTTGAAAGAAAGCCAAGATAAACCTGTGCTGAATGAAGGCAGTGGAGAGAGGGAAGATTTGGTCCTGGCTCATCCCTGTCAGACAGACCCATAAAATCTGGGATAGGAAGATCCAGGCTGGGAATCTTCAGCCTAAAAAGAGAGAACTGGGAAATATCACAGAATCCTGGAATGGGTTGGGTTGGAAGGGACCTTAAAGCTCTTCCCATTCCACCCCCTGCCACGGGCAGGGACACCTTGCACTAGACCAGGTTGCTGCAAGCTCCATCCAGCACTTCCAGGGATATGTGGTAGAGATCTGCAAAATCATGACTGGAATGGGGATAAATGGGAATTTATTTGTCTCACTGTTTCTCCTAACACAGCACTGGAAGTGCCAAGTGTTGGCTGTGACCTGCCAGGATCAAGAGCAGCTCTTCTTTCACACCACACATTGTTGAGGGCTTAAACCCTTCACCCCAAGACATTGTGGAAAGTTGCCATTAATTTAGAATCACAGAATCTCTTGTGTTGGAAGGGACCCACTGGGATCATTGACTCCAGCTCCTGGCCCTGCACAGATGCCCAACAATCCCACCCTGTGCCCAGTTAAAACTTGCTCACACAGTCCATGAAAAACAAGTTTTTGGAAGCATAAATATAACAATTCTGACTCAAAGTTCACACCAGGAACTTAAGGAAGCTGGGTCAGGACTCTGAGAAATATTACTCTCTGTTTTAGTTGCTTCTCCCTGTTCACCAGTTAAGGGTCATTCCCTCAGTTTCAAGAGATTTCCTCTTTTTCAGGTCATAAATGTAAGTTGCAGGTGTTGCAGCTGTTTAACCAAGCGCACAAAGTCTGTACCCATCTGCAAATAATCAGAGTTTGGCCTAGAAAACAAATAAGCATTTTCAAACTGATTTCTATCTGCTGTTTTAACGTGGTTTCATGGCCAACATACAGTCAGTAAGGTGAGGTGGGAGGCTCCAACCCCACAGCACGGTTTGGAACGAGATGAACTTCAATGTCCCTTCCAATCCAAACCATCCTGGGACTCTGGAATCAAGTAACAGCTCCTCATCCAAAGAAATAAAATGCAGTGACTCTGATACAGCACAAGACCAAACATTAGCATTTGTTTCACATCCCCACGAGTCCAATGGGGAATGGTGTGAGATAAGTGGTGGGGGGATTTGATTCTGGCTGGGGTTTTTGAGGGTTTTTTACAGTATCAGATTATTTTGGTGTTAAAGGTTTAAAAAACCCAATCAGATAGACTTTGGGTATGTATTTACTAAGTCAAAATCTTTTCTCTTGCAATCAGTTTACGATCTTGCTCAGGTTAATTTATCAGCTGAATTCAATGACCTTAGAGATCTTTTCTGAATTTAATGATCTATAAAAGTTAATCAGGTGCTGGCATCAGCAGCCCGTGGGAGTAATGGAGTCACCATCCCTGGAAGTGTTCCAAAACACATGTGGATGTGGTGCCAGGGGACAAGGTGGATCTCTCTGTGCTGGAGCAACAGTTGGATTTAATAATCTTAAAGGGATTTTCCAACCTAAACAACTTTCTGATCCTGTGATCAGCCCTGGCTAGCCTATGTCCTATGAAGAATTCACTTTTTCTATAAAGGCTGGTCTAGATTCAGCTGTTGGTCACAAAACTGAGAAGCAAAACCCATAGAACTAAAAAAAGGGTGGATTCCCACAGGCACAATTTCAGAGGAACCAGGAGATCTGCATGTCCTGGGGACAAAAAAGAACAAAGGAACAACAAAATAGAGACAAAACCCCACCACCTCAAGTAAGAAAGGTTTGTTAGAGAGAGTTAAATTTGACATACTATGGGACAAGGAAAGGAAGTCTCGGGAACAATTTCAAGAAGAAGGGTGCAAGCCACTTTGTGCAGTGAAGAATCAAAGAATCAGTCAGACCTCAAAGACTTCAGGTGAAAGGAGTGCAACACACTCAGAATTCACTGCAAGTACAGTGGGGAAAGCATAGAGTTAATGATTAATGAGAGAAGAATTCCAGCTCAGACTGTAGAGATGCACTTCCTACTCTTTTATGCAACCTACAAGCAGCTAATCTTATTTATTAATATTTATAATAAGCAGCTAATCTTATTTATTAATATTTTTTATGACTACAAGTGGAAAATGGGGATGTTTTTTGCTGGGTAGGAAGCTGTTTGCTCCTCTGGAGACTGTAAGTGTTGAAGAATGGTTTGAGAGAAAGGAATAGCTTAAACCTGCTACCTCTGGATATCTCTGTCATCCAAAGGACAAAAAAGAAGATAGTCCAGGACACAAAGATGCCTCATCCCTGGAAACCTGCTGCACACACATAGAGAGAGTCAATAATTGTTTAACAAGCATTAGTTTTCCTGGTCCCCAGGGAAGGTGTTCACATTGCAGTCAGACTGAAATCTCCCCCACTGTCTCTCAGGAGGAGTGAGACAGATCCAAAGCTTTCCCAATAACAGACCAGGGCCCTGAAGTACCTTCTCAACCCTTCCACATTGCATAGAGTATCAGCCATAGGTGCTGTGTACTTGCAAAATTTCACAGAGGCTCCTTTAATCACTTCTCTGCCTGTTCATATTTAATTGGATCCAGCTGAGCTCTTCTTTGCCCTTTTTTTGCACGCTCCATCCCATAAACTCACAGATTATTTCCACAAAGAACTTCCTGCCTTGGACCAGGTAACACAAGACAATTTCTCCTTTGTCACACCTTGTTTGCATCACTCTCTAAAGTCAGCACCTTCACTGCATGTGGCTTTAGGTCTAGGAGAAAATTCCAGGCATGAAACACCTCAGTCCCTAAGGGATTTCAGAGCAGAGATATGGCTGAGGAGGTAAATAAACAGCAGCAGCATTTAGTGATACCTGAAGTGTTTTACAGAAGGAAAACCCAGAGCACGGGGAGATACAGGTGGAAATCAAGGCACAGCAAAGGAAAAATTCAGGTCTATTAATTTAGTTCAAGATTCCTGTTGCAACCAGAAGTTTTAAAAAATATCAGCATTTTGTTGAATTTGTAATAATGACAAATGAAAGAGAAAAAACTCACCTGAACATAGACTGCCTGGGAGACGTGCACCAGGACAAGGACTGCCAGGACTGTCCAGGAAAGAAAGCTTTTCATAGTGCCTGCAAAGCCAAGCCTCTCCTGAACTGGACAGGTTTTATTTCCTCTGCCTTTGGCCCTTCTCTGCCTCCTTTGTGTCTCTCAGACTTTCCCTCTTCTCCTGAGCTCTCAGGCTGCCCAGCAGTCAGAGCTTTATAAAGACTTCATACAGCATGATGCTGGTAATCCATTAATCCAGACTTTCTATTGACACATCATAAACCCCGAGGGCACTGACAGTTATCTGCTCAGTGGCACAGCTGCTCAGTCACACCCAGGCAGACCCTGGCATTTATGAGTCGCTCCCACTTTGAGACACTGGCCGTGACACAGGCAGGCAAAACATTTCAAACTGCAATAAATAAATGGTGGAGACTGAGCCCAGGCAGCACCTGAAAGTCCCCATAATTCTGGCCACTTTCTGCAGAGCTGGGAGTAAAAAAAGACGTTTGGAAGAAGATAGAAGTTTGTTCCAGTCAGTTGCCTGTTCTGAGAGTCCCAGGAGCTAGGAGTGTAATCACATAATCCTGGAATTGTTAAAGTTGGAGAAGCCCTCTAAGATCACTGAGCCCAACCATCAGCCCAGGGTCTGGTGCTAGGTTGTTCACCATTAACCTTGTCCCCAAATGCCACATCAAAAAATGCCCTTTTTGACCATTTCCAGGGATGGTGACTTCACCACTGGCCTGGGCAGCCCTTTCAGTGCCTGACCACCCTTTGCACAGAGAGATTTCCCCAACATCTCCCAAAATCTCCCCTGGCACAACTTGAGGCCATTTCCCCAGGTCCTGTCCTTTGTGACCCCACTCCTGTCAGGGCTTTGGAGAGAGGTAAGGACCAAGGCTGTGCCTGCACATGCCCAGCTACAAAATGTCCTCTCTGCTCTTTGCAGCCCCTAATTAAAAGGCATGTGTTAAAAGGCACAGGGGGTGTCATTAAGGGCAAAGGCTGCCAGGAATCAAATCCATTTCTCGTGGCTTCCATGCTTACATGGAACACAGGAAAGAGATGGAGAAGGACCAACAGCCTCAGCTCGGTGCTGACACCAAGCCCAGGTCCTCAGATCTGTAAATGATTTCTGGAGTTTTGTGGGTTTGGATTAACACAGATCCCACAATGTTCCTGATCCCAGCAGAACAGGAGAGGGCAACAGTCACCCACTAAGCACCTTCCTCAAATCTCAGCAGTGTTCTATGCCCCAAAGGCTCCAGTTCCTGCTGTAACCCAAATTATTGTTCAAGTTACAGTGAAAATCATCTTTCTGCTTGGAGTAAAATTCCAGAATCCAAAGCAGCCAGGTCCCCAGTCAGGGGGCTTGGAGGGAGGGAATGAGAATTTTGTGATTCAGTATAACCCAAAAATTACTGCAGAGTTGAAGCTGAGCTGACAATGCAGAGTGTGAGCTGACAGACTTTGCTTCTCTCCTTTCCACCAGCCTACCTACACAAAATTTGAACCCCTGGAACAAAACAAGCCTGTTTCCTCTCCTGTAATGATTTCTCTTCTTTCTGCTGCCCTGGCCAGAAGCCAACAGCATTTGCAGCCCCACAGCAGCTCAGGCCTCTGCCCTTAATTACTTTAATGTGGGTCAAGGGTGGAACAGCAAAGGGCAGAGCAAAAATCTCCTCTGAGAACATTTCATTTCCCACATGCTTGGGAATTTTTACAACCACTTTCTTCTCCTAAACCTGGTTTATCCTCAGCCTGTTAAGTCCTGAGTACCGCTTGGTGGAAACTAAACAACAGATTAAGGAGGCATTGAGGGAACCTGAGAATTATTGAGATTGAAAATAAACAAGATTATCAAGTCCAGCCTTGGAGAGAACCCAAAGAGACAGACAGGGAATTTTGGAGAGGTGTCACAAGAACACTGACCCAACAGAGGCAGACAGAGCTGCAGTCAGTGGTTCTGTGTCCAGTGGGGTGCACCCCAGGGCCCTGGAGCACTGCTCTTTGGTACCTCAGCAAGGACACAGCGAGGTGGAGCACACCCTCACCCTGCTGGCAGGCGACAGGAACCTGAGCAGCACTGGTTATGTAAGGGTCTCCTCGAGCCAGGTCTCATAAGCCCTTGGAGATTTATATCACACCCAAGATAGCTCAGCTGCCTTAGAAGGCATAAAATCAGCAGGATGGCTTTTGTGGCAGTGTTGGAAACAGAAAAGTTTTAATAGAAGGGAAAATAACTATTAAATTGTTTTTCTCGGGCCAGTTCTCATAAGCCCTCAAAAGAAACTTAATACACCTAAGGATAGCTCAGCTATTGCTTTGGGGGTATAAAACAAGTAGGATGTCTTCTGCTGTGGTGTTAAAAACAAAAATAGTTTAATAAAAGGCAAAATAACAAACAGAAAAACTCGAGTCAGGTGCAGAGGTTCTACTCTTAGTAAAAACATTTCACAAAAGTCTCTTTTCTCTTTTGTTCTGTTCTTTTCTATCTGATGGTTCAGGCAGGACTTTTTGGCTTCTATCTAATTAGATGTTCTCTAGTGTTTGGTGAAGTCCCTGAGGTCCTGTGAGGTGGCTTTTCACCTAATCGTTGAGAGAAACTTCTGGGCTTCTTTCCTTTTTTGGGGGACAAAGGTTAGTTTTGCCACTCTGTCATTAGGGGGCACATTCCTACAAATAACAAAACTCTTTACAGAGAAAAACCGAGCCAGATGCAAGAGGCTCTTGCTCCTGTAAAACACCTCACAAAGCCATTAGTTTCTTTGTTCTCTTCTTTTTATAGTAAATTGCTTAGGCAATTTTTAATTTTTGGCTTCTGTCCAATTGGCTATCCTTAAGTTTGAGGTGAAGTCCCCAAGGTCTTTTTACCTAATCGAGGGGAGAAACTTCTGGGCTTTTTTCTTTTTTGAGGAGACAAAAGAGAGTTTTATCACTCCCTCAACAGAGGCACATTCCTACAGACATCCCAAAGGATGGGGCCGTCCTGGAGGAGCTGGCCAAGCTTGAGAAGTTGGCCCATGGGAATCTCCTGAGGTCCTACACATGAGTTGGGAAAACCCCCAGTCTCAATACAGGCTGGGAATGCAGGGCTTGGTAGCAAGGCTTGGGGTAGCAGAAAGACAGCAGCAGGACAAACTCACTTCTGGACTGACGCTGAAATTACCACAGCCATGCTCAGGACCTTGTGTTTGGCCACCTTGGTCCTCCTGAGGTTCCCATGGGCCTACTTCTGGGACTTGTGCAGGTACCCCTGCGTTCACCCTGTCTCCCAGGTGTGTCACACTTGCACTGCTCAGCTCAGGGTCACCTGCCAGTGTGCTGGGGGTGCCCTCAACCCCCTGTCTGTGCTGTTGACAGAGACATTAAAAGCACTGGTCCAGTACAGATACCCCTTTGTCTCTGAGCTCCATCCAAGCCCTTCACCACTGCCCTGAATGCTGCCATCCAACCACTCCTAATCCACCGAGCAATCCGTCCATGCAATTTGAATTATTCCAGTTTAGAGAGAAGAGTGTTGTGGCTTTGCTGTGCCCTTTTGCTCCTCAGTGTCACAGTGCAGGTCTGGGTGGGGCCACTACCCCACACCAATCCATGTCCCAATTCCACTTCTCTCCAGGGTCACAGAGCTCAGGGGGACCAGGAGCTGTTCAGTTGGAGGTACAGGGATGAGGACAGAGACCTTCTGCTCACCAGGTCTGCTCCTGGGCTTCCTGTGGCCTCCCAGACACCCCTGCCCTGCAGACCCAGCCCCGCCAGCCCAAAAATTGGAAGAGGCCAGGCCAACACCAGAGGAGCCCATGCGTGTCCCCACCTGCCCCTTCCTGCCTGTGGCCATCCTGGGGCTGCAAGGTGGGTCTGGTTGTCCCAATCCCAGGCTCATTCCCTGCTGTGCAGAGCCAGTTCCCACCCCGAGGGGAAAGACCTCTATGTCTTCATTCCAGTTTGTGCACAGCAGGACCTGAGTGGTTCCCAGGGATGTTGGCTCCCCATTCAGCCAAGTTTTATATTATTTATACATTTTAGCAAACAAAGGCCTCAATACTCATTGGCTGCATGTTACATTAATCTCTAATTAATATTCTGTCTTCTCTTGGTTAAATGGCTGTCTCCCTTCTCACACTAATTAGTCCACCAGTCTTGTCCATCTTTGGAGTCAGTGGGATTCTGGAGTCAGTGGCTATGAGTTGGTTGTCAGCATCCCCTCCTGCCAAAATCACCTTTCACAGAGTGAACGCCTTGGACTGATGACCTGGCCCTGTTTGTTTAGGCCCAGCCTCCACAGCCCTGAGGACTGTGCAGCCCTCAGAGGGACCTGGACAGGTGGGGGAGATGGGCAGGGAAGAATGCTCTAAAGTTCAACAAGGGAAATGCAGGTCCTGCATCTGTGGGGGAACAACCCCAGGCACCAGCACAAGGTGAGGGTGACCTGCTGGAGGAGCTCTGCAGAGGAAGACCTGAGGGTCCAGGAGACAACGAGCTGTCCCTGAGCCAGCAGAGTGTCCTGGGGAGCAGAGGAGACTAATGGGATCCAGGGGGCATCAGGAAGAGCCGTGCCAGCAGGTCAGGGAGTGCTCCTGCCGCTCTGGCCAGCCCTGGGAGCCACATCTGGAGAGCTGTGTCCAGCTCTGGGCTCCTCAGGACAGGAGAGAATGGAGCTCCTGGAATGGGGCAGGGAAGGCTGAGGAGATGATGCAGGGCCTGCACCTCCCTGCTGAGCAAGGCTGAAGGACCTGGGGCTGTTCAGCCTCAAGAGGAGACACAGATGAGAGGGGCCCTCAGCCCTGGGTGTCCCTGTCTGCAGGGAGGGCTCAGAGCAGGGACCAGGCTCTGCTCCAGGAGGCCCAGCGATGGGACAAAGGGAAGGGGCAGGAACTGATGCCTGGGGAGTTCCAGCTGAACATAAGGCAGAACTTCTTTGCTGTGCAGTGATGGAGCCCAGAACAGGTGGTCCAGAGAGGGGGTGGAGTCTCTCTCAATGGGGATATTTCAGACCCATCCAGACACAATCCTGTTCCATGTGCCCTGGGATGGCCCTGCTAGAGCAGGAAGGTGGGACCAGATGAGCCACT